GAGCAATATATAACATATTACACATTTCATATCTATAACAAGATGGATTTAATTTAGTAGATAATATTTTCAAGCACTTAATTGATATAAACTTTCATAAAAAATTCATTTCTTTCAAACTGGATGTAAAAAAAACAGAAATTGGAACAAGAGCATATTTTGTCAATAAAATACTTTAAAGTATGTCAAATTTCTGTCTTCTTTGAAAACCTCACAAGGAAAAATATTATGGAATTCGGCTGTTACACGTAATAATGTACATGTTCTATGTTCTCTCGTGATTCCATGCTAACGGCCTTTCAACGTGTAAATTATAACAAGCGGTTATGTATCAAACATTGAGTAAGAAATGGCTCTTGGGCACAGTAAATATTTCCTGAGAGCAGGATGTTGTTTACCAAATTGTTTATTGATTACCTTTCGAACAGGCTAAAATATCGCTTCTCCATTTTTTTTAAACATATCCATTAGCACTCTTTCAACAGTAATGACAACCCATTCCTTATTAAAATATTGATGTAGGAGAATTACTTCAGACAGGCCGCAATATTGAAGTAACTGTGTGTTCAAAACAGTTTAGGCAAGGGTAAACAATCAGGTTCAGCGCGATCATTAAGTTGTATAATACGTTTGGTAGTTTTTTCGAGTTTCTTTCTATTGCAATAGTATGCCAGTACTTAGCCATTCTCTTTGAAATTTGGTTATTTAAAAGTACTCTACCACGTTAACCACCCGTGAAGATCCGAGGAAGAATATGTCTTCAGTAACCCATACTTCAGTAACCCATCGTATCCCAAATGCTTGGATCAATGCTCATTATGTCAATCACTGGATTGTCTGGTCCAGACCCGACTATTTACAGACCGCCGTCATATAGCTGGAATATTACAAACAAACAAAACCTAGTTTACCATATACAATGAAGTTGGGGTGGAAGATTTTCGCTCAGAGGCAAGCTTAAATTTAATCGCACACTCTCTTTCTATAATTCCGGAATACCAAACCCCCATATTTCAGACCCATACAGGAGAATAGGTGAAATCATCGACAATCGAATGGGACAGTTCTAGCCTTTGTTTCAGTAAACAGAATTAAGCCCTTTTAGCACCATAAATCTTAACTGTGTGAATTCTATTTTCAAGAAATTTGATTCCCAGATAAACATACGAGTCCACCGTTTCTAACTGACTGTTTCCATACTTAAAGGATGGTGTATTTGTCTTATCAGTTCCACTACCAAAGACAACTATTTTGGTTTTAGATATATTAACACTGAATTTCCATTTCATACAATAATCATAGAATATATTTATTGACTTCGGGAGAGAGGTAGGGTTAACTTTAAAAAATCTGTATCCTCTGTATAAAAGGCAAGTAAGAACTGTAAACACAACAGCCGGCCGTCCTCATTTAGAACATTATACATTAACTTGGACGCGGTCCTTTTTAAGCATGAAGATTCCATATCATTGAGAAAAATCGAAAAGAGCAGAGGTGATAAATTCTCTCCTTGCCTTGATTTACAAGGTAAAAATTGATTAATTCTATTATTGATAAGCAGACACGATTAAAGTTATCGTACATATTTTGGACCAATGTTCAAAATGTAACTGTTATATCACTCATTAAAAATATATACCAGAGCCCGCTTTCCACGTATTATTTTCCAAAAATATAAGTGAGTAGATGCATTATAAAACTGCTGTCTACAGTAAGAAGTGCTTACGGAATCCTGCCTGGACCGGTGATAATATTTCACTTATTTCCAAGAAGTCATTCGACTCTTATTTAAAATACGGGTAAACATTTTCCGAGACAGCTCAGTGTGGTTATTGGCCTGTAGGAGTTCGGATACATAGAGTCGCCCTTTTTCATGGACAGATCTAATGGCCCCATTTAGCCATTGCTCATTTAGCCCAGCTGGGAGAACAAGATTAAAGAGATCTTCATAAAATGATGCACGCATGTCAAAAGAGCCACTGATACAGTCGTTTTTCTACACAATCAAGGCCTTCCGCCTTGCTTCGTTTCAATGATATGTTTCATTGCAGCTGTAGCTTCTTCTAACGAAATAGTATCATTTAAATGATCATACAGACAATTGTCTATGTTTAGCTTTTCCATATCATCAGCTATGTCACTGTCATTATACTGTCTTGAATGAGTAAGTGAGTGAGTTGTGTTTTAACGCCGCTTTTACCAGTATCCCAGTCATATCACGGCGTGTCAGCTTAATGTGGGAGGTAAGCTCGAAGTGATGCAGGTCTCAGACGTTTACCACTTCGGTGAAACCCACGAGCACGGGTATGGTGCAGACAAACCTAGAAACATAATCGGGACGAACCGTGATTCGAACCCACAATCATACGTTTCTGGCGTACCCAAGGGACGCAGCTCTGCACAGCGAATTCTGGCGCCTTAGACGACTGGGCCACACGTGCTCCCTATTCTGTCTTGAGGTTATAGCTTTAAAAAATCATAGAATTCTTCCGTGTCAGGTACTTTATCACTTTTCTCCCTATAGTCTTTGGGATTTAACATTTTCCAAAAGAATCACTTCTAAGTTTGTTACTTATTTCATTCCTATGTTTATTTATGATTTTATTTTGACATGTTTTTCTTAAGCTCTTGCGTAATTCCGGTAGTTTACTTTGTAAATTATGCTTCTATTCTTTTTAAAACGTGTTCTGGCTTTTTAGTAATGTTTTCTCATTATTTTGCCCGATGTTTCGAACCATAGTTTATTCCGTTCTTATTCTGCCTGGGCGAGTGACACACTTTGTAATGTCTCCTTGTATGTGGCCTTATCTTGCACGTGCGCTATGTCCGGGGCTGACTCCACACAGCGACTGATTTGCTCAGCTCCGTAACATCACTATTTTACAGAATAGGTCAACTGACTTACGGTTTGGGTTAGTTAAATGACTTTGATATTGGATATCGTTTAAGCCAGTAACAGCCTGCATGTTTTTATCTTTAACTATGTGGGTTTGGGGGATACGTTACGGGGCGGTGTGCATTTGAGTAAAAGGGGTGGGGGAGGGGAGGGGAGGGGAGGGGAGGGGAGGGGGAGAAGTCATCAGTCTGCCAATGCATGAACACGGGTAATCACACTGGAGCATCTGGCACATAGTCTACCACACTTCTGTCCTTATATGGTGGTTTACCTGGGAAGCTATCCTTGCCAATACGCCCGTTGCAGAAGAACATACTTAGGTTTTTGCATGCATCTAGCATCTCATAACCACAGTGATTTATTCTTGCTTCATCTTGTGTATACCGCGTGTGTGGCACTTTTAACGCAAGAAGATTCTCCCTGGTTATCATCCTTTGTTTGTCAGCATCATACCCTGACGTGTTAAAGGATGTCCAGCAGTGATTCCTGTGTTATTGATTTGTAGCATTCACGTCATTCAGTTCTACTGAATCGTGACGGTGTATATAGGAAGCAGGTACACGTGCACTTAGTTGATCTATTCAACCAGGATTCCACACGAGGGGCACGTGCAAATAGAACAATTAGTTTCATAATGAGTAAGTGAGTGACTTTGGTTGAAACAATATCGGAGTGTGCTATTTTGAAGTGATGGAAGCCTTAGACGTTAACAACGTGAAACCAACGAGCACGCACGTATGGTCCTAAGAAACCTAGAAACATTACCTGTGTATTTTTTGGTTTAACAGTGATTGTAGCTGTGTTGCATTGTTTCTGTTGGGATTCAGTAGAGGCTCGTGGCATTGTGTTTGGACAGTGATCAGTCGTCAGGAAATTACTATATTTAGATGCTAGTGTGCAAGCTCCTTCCCAGCGCGTGACACCTTCGTTACACTCTCGGTAACATAGTATAGAGAGCTCCGCGAACGGGATATCGCTGTGAGGAGCTTGGCTAGTGTGGTGTGTCAACTTCCGGTCCGGTATACGGCGGACGTTGATGGTATGTTATGGACATTTCTTTAATGTTCTAGTACCGTTATATTGGTGAGGGCTCTGTATAGAAATTCCCAGTAGCTTGTAGGTTGTATGTGAGGGGACAAAGGCGTGTTAACGTATCTCTCAAGTACTTTCATAACATCGGATGTGAGCTTTCATGTGAGGATCCTCGATTCCCTGTCTAACCTATCTCGGAAACTTGACCACTGTCGCCGCTTGGTGAATATAAATTTATATTATTATCAATGACTTTTGCTATCACCACTGTATTTGTATATTAGATGCTGACCACTGACATCATATTATTTATTGCCATGGAATATAGTACTACTGTTGTGTACTGCCATAATGTGCCATTGTAATTGTTGTGCAGTAATTTGTATTGAGTGAGTGAGTGTGTTGGGTTAAACGCCGCTTATAACAGTATTCCAGTGATATCGCGGCGTGTCAGCTAAATGTGGGAGGAAAGCCCGAAATGATGCAGGTCTCAGACGTTTACCACCTCGGTGAAACCCACGAGCACGGGTATGGTGCTGACAAACCTGGAAAAATAATCGTGGCGAACCGAGATTCAAACCCACAATCATAGGTTTCTGGCGTGCCTAAGGGACGCAACTCTGCACAGCGAATCGCAGCGCCTTAGATGACAGGGACACCCGTGCCCCCGTAATTTGTATTGATTTGTAAACATAGTTAATTGTTGTAATACATTTGTTGATTGTTTACCGCTTGTTTGTTGTTTGTTTGTTTCACCCTTGGTTATTTTTCGTACAGATTTCTGGGTTATCATATTGTTTCAATTTGGGAATCGACACGTAACACCTGTAATTGTTGGTTCGAATCCCAGATTCGCCCAGATCATGTTTCTTTGTGAACGAATGTTCACATCGCCTCCAGAGCACCAAGAATTGGCGCATGATGATCGAACAGAGGCCTTTGTTGTGACGAGTAGACATTGAGCACTCGGCTACTCGTCATTGTATTGTCATGAATGATGATACAAGCCCTATAATAAACAATGTCATGAGACACACACACTACAGTTGGTATACAATAGAAACATACTCACTTCAGATACCTGAGCCAGCTGTTGTCCGTGACGCTGAATCGGTTGTTTTCCTGAAAATGGTGAACATACTTTCGTCACTCAAAATGCAAATTATCTGAAATCAAACCAACTACAAATAAAACACAGAGTTAACTACCAACTGGAACAGAATCCCATTAAAATTTAATGTTGTCGTGGGCAATGTCAATCACTTTTCTGTCCTTTCTATTCAGATGTATCGCTACTATTGATTGTAATTCGTTTCTTTGTATTTGCTCATTAGACTATGCTAACATAGAAATCTTGTATTACAAAAACGTGTATCTGTCCTGAAAGAGCCCCTTCCTCCTGAAGCTGATCGACAGCCAGCTAGGCATACCTATCATTATCACTAAATTAGTTTTGATCCAGTGAAATGCACACAATCAAACAGCATGATGCAGGACTATCAGTATTCTGTAATGTCTTTGTCGGACTTAATGCATAACTATCGAACTTCAACCTTTACTGAATGACATTATTCCATTTTGAATAGACACGTTATCATTGTGTTAACCATGTTTCCGTGTAATAACTTCAGAGTTGCTGTTGAATGTGAAAAACTCCACGTACCGATCGCTTCTGTTTATTCTGCCATGCCAGAGGCTTTGATTCTAATGAGGGTGAATTACATGTATTGTTGACATGTGACAGCTATTCCTAACCGAGAAGAGAATGTTTCGCTAATCATCTCATTTTGATGTACTACCGAGCATGCTCTTTCTACTAAGATTTCGACGATCATGTCATGCGACTGTTGCTCAAAAGTTGTTTGATCAAACTTACTACATTCAAGGCCTCTGCAAAGCTTTTTATGGTAGGCATGTGAAGGATGTTTCCAATTTTGAAGCATCGGTGACCAAAATGTCTGATGCAATTCCCCACATTGACCATATGTTCCCCGTTTATTCAGCTGAACAGTTGACATGACTATGCATGTGTTTGTGACGAATACCACTGGTGGAGGATCTGTTTATAGTCGGATTTTTTTACGATTATGGTAAGAATATTTATGCTGTATATTGTATGCAACATCAATATAGGATGAGGTGTGTAACAATAGCGTTGCCATTGACTGGACGCTACGCTATTGACAGTCGCCATGCCGCCATTAGCAGCTGTTATCTTAGTGTGGCGACATCATTGTTTGTGAATGCATTAGTGAACAAAAGGTGTGCTAGTTGAATGTATGGTTAGAGTAATCAAAACAATTAATTTTAGAAGAGAAGATTTGTTTACAAACAAATAAATGCAATAATAAAGACTTTCAAATATATAAAATATAAACTAGACGATTAGAATGATGTTCACTCAACATATGATACTCTTTAGATCTTATGTGTTCAAAACTTGATAAGATTGATGACTTTGTTGCTACGCAACGAAAAAGTAATCCCGGAAGTAAGTCAAAGCAAAAGCCTGATTCTGGTGTGGTGAACTTAAATGTTTATGTTATATGACATATGTAATTATGAGAGAACATTTTCAATGTAAGTTTTCAATTAAATGTAAAAATCGGAAAGCCAAGTGTACAAAATCAAGGAAATCATGTGATAGACAACTCTGAAAACAAAAGCGCCTGTATCAAAGGACAGAACAATAACGACTGGTGGACAAGTTTAATGAGAATGATTCTAGGGAACTTGGGAAGATACTCGGGGGTTGCAGTGAGAGATCCACTATAATCCCATGATACGCGAATCAAGAAGGGGCCATTTCAAGTTGTATGAGATGCTTGGAAAACAATTACAGATCTCCTTTTGTGGAAACACATGCTAATCATTTCGAGGATCATCATTACAACAACATCAGTGAAGAATTGAATAATGATTCAGCCTCTACTGACGATTAGATTCTTCCGCGTTAAATTCATCTACTACTCGCGCTTAAGTAGAAGATGTCATCTCCAGATCTAAACGTTGAATATCAATTTGACACCACGATGGGGCGATAAATAATACAGGATGTGTTCATATTTTTCACAGGATATTAACATTTTATTTTTGCCAAGACATGGTAAAGTGTCTAATGCATCCTATAAAGAGATCGGACACAGACACTAGGGATATCGTGGCATCTCGCTGATATCAATACCATGTAAAATGTATGCCGATGTACTAAATAAAAGCGACAAAATCCTTTCCATATTCATTAGAAAGCAGAGTCGATTGTACGATTCCGACTATATCTTGTAGTTTATGAATCACTATCAAATTGGGATGATACCAGGGGTTCGCGAAAAGGTGAGCGTGTCCTGCCTCAACGGTGGCACCAATAACAAACACAAGCAAAGGCAAGTCAAATGTTAGCCTGAAAAAACACGGGAACATATGGCACAAGTCAAAATAGGGAATTGCATTGGACATCATCGGTCACTGATGCGTCAAATTGGGAAATGTCCCAACAGGTCTACCATTAAACATTTTGAAGGCTTTACTGAGGCCTTGAATGTAACCTTGATCAAACAACTTCTGAGCAAGAGTCGTATGACGCTCTTTGAAATCTTGGTAGAAAGAACATGCTCGATTGTATCTCAAAAGATGTGAAATGGAAACACCATAGGCTGGAGCTGCTGGAATATGGCTCGACATGAAGAGAAAGTTGACTATTGGAAAGATGAAGTCGTCCCTCTTGTCATACAGTCTTGTGGAGAATGTTTTGTCACTCTAAATCTATAAGCATGCATTTCAGTGAATGGTTAAAAGACGGGGACCTCTTGGGTGTTGAACAGAACGGCTTCCGAAGATACAGGTGCACACAGGAACATTTGTTTACTCCTTATTCAGTATCACATAACCGCAGGGTATCCCTCCAACGTTTGTATGCTAATATCGATGCAATGAAAGCATTTGACAAGATCAATAGATACTGTCTATTGTATAAGCTCAAGAAACGCGGTATTATGGGAAAATTCTAAAAGGCAGTTGTATGTATGTACGGGTATACGAAGGGTTTAAATTCGCCTTAACGATTACCACACGGATGTGTTCGCAGTCAATACTGGCGTGAGACAAGGTTGTGTACTGTCTCCTGCATTATTCTCCGTATTCATCAATGCTTTTGCTCACGAAATAAACAATCTTGAATGTGGTGTCACATTCAATAGTCAATGTCTTTTGTATGCCGATGATATACCACTTATAGCGACGAGAACCGCATGTGGAATGTGATGAGCACTTGGTGTTCCAAATGGCGCATGCATATTAACTTCGACAAGACAAGAATTGTTCATTATCCTCCAAATGCAGCTTATATATCCTCTTACGTTCAAGATCGAGAGCGAAATTGTGGACTATACTCATACATATAAATACCTCGGATTTTGGCTTGAAGATAACTGAGATCTAAAATTCGCAGCAAAGGAACTCGCGAAATCAGTAAAGCGAGCTCTCGGTGTCATGATTATGAAGTTTAAGTTGGTCGGAGAAATGACTTATAACGCGTGCAACTCTTTATATGGAAATCTTGTTGAGCCTATTCTGTCCTCTGTTACAGCAATCTGGGGCACTCGGTTATCAGCATTCAGCACTGTGCATTTAGATTCTTGTTGGGAGTGGGATGCATGACCTCAAACCTTGCCGTCAGTGCTGAGGTGGGCTCATTAGCATCATTAACCAGACAACGAATAGAACCAATGCGATTTTGAAGAAACTGTTTGTTGTTAACTCTGATCGATTTATTTTTGCTGTTAATATCTGGTCCAAACATTTAACCAAAACCATGGACAAGCTATGTGTTTACCATCCTTCAAAGTTCTGGACGTCCTGTTCCGGATGTGTATAGCTCTACTGGAGATTTTTAATCCATTTAAGAATGTTTAATACTAAGATGTGCAGACAAACTGATATCAGATCTTTGAAACTATCGAGGACAGGTAAATGGTAACACTTCGTACCAATAGATCGATGAAGTGTAATCCTAATATACGAGGGGCGTTCAATAAGTTTTCCAACTTCAATATAATCAAAGTCGCAGAATATCTTTCACTTTTATTTTTAAATATAATCTCCATTCACCTCAATACACTTATTCCATTTGTCCTTCAAGCTTTTAATACCACTTATATAGAAATCCGCAGATTTGCCCTCTAACCACGCCTCTGTGGCAGCCTTTATGTCCTCGTCATCCTGCAAGCGTCTTCCACGTAGGGCAGGTTTCATTTGCAGGGACAGGAAATAGTCACTGGGGGCTAAAGCTGGGCTGTAGGATGGGTGATTTAACTGTTCGAATCCACTTTCACATATGGCGGCCTGTGCAATTCTCGACTTGTGAACCGGAGCGTTGTCATGCAAAAGTAGAATACGGCGTGTTTACATCCCACGGCGTTTCTGGCGAATAGATTTTCGCAAATCTTTCATTACATTAGCATAATACTGTCCATTGATTGTAGTTTTTGGTTGCATGTAATCAATCAGTAATATGCTTCTTACATCCCAAAATATGGTGGCCATTACCTTGCCAGCCGATAGTTGAATGCGAAACTTCCTCGGAGGTGGAGAATTGGGGTGCTTCCATTGCATGGATTCCAATTTTGTTTCTGGGTCCCAGTGGTGCATCCATGTTTGATCACCTGTCATTAGACGAGAAAGAAATCCGGCTTCATCAGCAGTATAGAGATCCAGGAGGTCTCGGCAACTTTCAATTCTCTAATGGCGATCTTGAGCTCTGAGGTTTCTAGGTAATCATCTTGCAAATACCTTGGACATATCCAGGTGGCTCATGAATGATGGTTACAATAATTCCAATTGATATTTGGAATTCCCTAGAAAGTTCAGATACTTTCACTCGTCGGTCAGACAAAATTCTTCTTTCTATAGTAGCAATGGTTTCCGTTTGGGTTGATTTCTTTCGCTTTTCATCCCTACTTGGTAAGGAACTTTATTACCGAGCGTTGTTCATGTTTGAGAGAATCCATGATTGTGACCACCCTTAGGGAATGAAGCCATCACATCTAACTTACTGTTGTGTCTGGAACTTGTTATAACACGTGTCAACTTGATGTTATGACTAGTGTCACACCTGCCACAAGTTG